GCGCAGACCCCCGTCGGTGCGCGGGTTAAGCATGCAGGCTGAATTTTAACATTTAGATGTTAAATTCTTAAACCGTTGACCTTTTAGAAGTTGTATGAACTGTTCAGCTCCTTTTTTGGTCCATCACAGCGGGCTTATATGTTATTTGTCAATCAAAATGGAATTAAAATTTTTTATTGGGTCTGGTTACCTCGCCAACTTCTTAACTGAATCATTTAGTAGCTTTTGATTGGGCAGTGCCCACGTTGTCTGTCTAGCTTTTCTGTTTATGACACGAGTAGAGGCTGCTGACATCGTTTGTCGCGGTTAGATAATACCAATCCACGTCCCAGTGGCTGTTCGATCGCACTTTCCCTGGCCCACCTCTCCCGCCAGGCTAGACTTTGCCCGGCACAGCCGTCGCCTTAGTGCCTCGGGCGGTGACCCGTTCAAAGGGGCTCTCAATTCGTATGGTGCCGTGGCTCTCAAACCGACACAGAACAGTGAAACGCACAGGCTCACTTTCCATATAAGGCGAACGGCTGACTCTGGCGCCGGGGCTTCATTCATGCTAAGGCGCCCAATCACAGCGCCGCATTCCAGTTAGTGTCGGGCGCAAAAGCTACTATGCTCCGCCCCTTTATCACGTGACCCTGCCCTCACGTGGCCTCAGTCACGTGGTGTTTCCACTTCTTGGCGCATGGCGGCGCTAGTCTCGCAGGGGCGGTGGTAGCTTGCTCTCCCGCCGTCCGGGGGTGATGGGTAGCAAGTGCTGGTGACTGTACATCAAAAGCAAATTAAATAACAGTGTTGAGTGTAAACTATTGCGTAGGTGTCGGACATCTTTGGACAAATGGCTGGTTTGGACATTTTTGGACGGACAGTCGACGTAAGTATTGGACATTGGACGGACATTGGACACACATTTTCTGAAATTTACACCACTAATAGGTGCCCTGACACCGCCTATGCATGACCAATACAATTGTAGTCGTTCTCTCATAAGAAAATTGTAACATAACAAGACCATTACCACCCTTTTTAGAAACAGTACCAACAAAAACCTTATTTACTATACTTTTTGTGTACCCCCAATCTCAATGATCTGTATCCGCCTATGATTTTTGAAAATGCATATTTTTAGGATCCATGTGAATTCCTGGTTCATTCTCTATCGATCGGCAAAAGTTGCGTTAAGATTGGTTCAGAAACCTGGCCGTGATAAACAGTCTAAAATGTATCTGCAATTTGCCCGTTTTTACCCCCCTCTAACCCCCTATTGACATTTTTTAATTTTTATTTTTTGGAAATGTAGATCACGTTGAGCGAAATCTAATGCCGTTTGAATTTTGAAAATCGGCCCGTTAGATCTCGAGATATCAGGGGGGGGTTGTAAACAGCCCCCCCCCCCTGCCACTAATAGGGGCATCCAGGAGCCTGCCACTAATAGGGTTAAACAGTGCACAGCATAAGTATTATTATTATGTAGGTATTTATTTTCCTGGACTTACAAATAAGAATTCGGAATTTCGGATGGTGATTCACACCGAAAAATCGTAACACCGCATGTTATACAATTAGACCAATACGCCGGAAGGTCGCAACCAGGGCGTGGGCGGTCTCCGCGCCGGTCACCGGGCACTGACCACAGGTCAACGAGCATTAACAACCACAGGCCCCCAGACACTGACCACAGGTCCGCGAGCATTACCCCGCGACCCGATGGGGGCAAAGGCCCCCCCCCCCCCCCTGAGGCTTTTGCCGATAACTCACAAACGACCGCAAATGTTGACTCGCCGTTTTCAGTACCTCTCCGAACATCAATTTTGCGCAAGTCCTCCTATGGTCATCTCAGGTCATGAGCTCAGGTCATGAGGCCATGACTGTTAATGTCAAAGTGAGGTCGTGTTCGGTCATTTTTGGTCGGAAAAGAAAAAACTTGCGGAAAATCAGAATCAACCTAGTGACTCAAAAATTCAACCTATAGGTTGAATTTTTGTATTTTTTATGTATTTGTAATTTTTGTAATTTATGTATACATACAAAACCATGGCAAACAAAATTGATATCCTTAGTTTCTAAAATAAAAAACTCAAGATCTTGAGGTTTTCAAGCTCAAAATTTAGATTTTTTATAAATGTTTTGGTAATTTGAAGAAATTTTAAGCATACCGGATTACATATCAGAGATCAGCTTACTGCTTTCATCCCAGAGATAGGTTTAGCCATTTGAAAGACTTGAAAATATAGGGACTAGTATGATGACGTCACATTGTTTTCAGCATTTGTACTTAAAATTAGTTTAGAGCAGTATCTATGACACTAATCCATCTTTTGCCGACTAAATACGACTGTTGATGCCTTTTTTACATGATAAGTCACTTTTTGCAATAAAATGTTTGCCAATGTAACTCGGTACAATTTGACCTTTTTGACCTTCCTGTGACGTCATATGGCAAACAAAATTGGCCAATGAGGTTTATGTGGCTTCATATGAATGTCATACTTTAATAACGACTCGAAAATTAATAATCCAGCATGACGTTTCGTACGTAACACGCATTTACGTTTTTTTTTTATTGGTCGAGGCTGACCACCTTTGTGAGATGATAGGTCATCATCCATTCAGTTGACTGTCCACCTGTTAGATCCAAGATATGCATCATATTCAGACCCATTTTAGAAGCCTAGATTTCTCTTTTTAGAACCGACTGCTCATCATAGAAAATTGGACAGATTTAACCTTATTTGATCTCCCTGTGACGTCACGGATCAAATATTGAAGCAATCGATACTGTATCTGGTGCATCTTGACAAGCCCTTTTGAATGCTGTTTGAATTTTCCCGATCCGACTATTAGTTCCAGAGATACGACTGGGGCCCTTTGGCACCCCCCCCCCCCCCCGCCCTCCCCCGACAGGACCTGAAACCTGCCAGACCTCAACGGGGCGCGGTTTAACGACCACAGGTTGAGGTCACCGGGCATTAACGACCATCGAGGTCACCGGGCGGGAGTGACCAACGACAGGGACGACCTGTTTCATCGACCTGTCTCATAGTACGACGCTACTGAACGCTACAGCATTGCGGGAGCTGACGCGCCATTGTTATTGATTAATGATCATACGTATGATGTCATGCGACTTGAGCATAACCACGTCATGTTTCGCAAATGTTGTTTGTGACTGCAGTCCTCACTACCCAGAAAGATACATCGAAAACACTATGACATGTATGATGCATGATTTGTCTGGCCCACCGACTGTTTGGCAGAGTTCATCCGACCTGCAGTCTGCACCCCAAACAGGTTATCTACCTCCGCTGGACTTCCCTCAACCGTCACTATTGCGCTTCATCGGCTGCCTTTTAAATTAACTTGTTTTCGACCTTCGTTCCAGTGCTCCGATTGCCCTCAACCAGCCTCAGTAGCCACGGCAGGGCTGAATGCTGCACTGAGTGATGAATGGACGTACAGCCCACCGCTAAAGTAATGTAGGGTTTTACCAATCTCAACGGTTGGCTTTGACTGGCGATTGTTTAATGCGGAGTGATCGAAAAGAAGATGTCAGTAGCTAAAGTTGCAGCTGCAAGGGTGACGATACATACATTCAAAGTTGTATAAGCTACATTCAAAGTTTCATTGTAGTCTGGCTAATCGTTCCTAAGCTTCAGAAGCAGAACATACCCATGACTGAAACCCCACATTACTTCTGCTGTGGACTGTACAAACCAGGGTACAAACATCACACAGTCGCTTAGTACGCGTGCAATGCTGAAACGACCGGATCATGTAATTGAACATTACTTTCCACACTTGATTGGCATTAATGCTAGGGGCGCCCCGCTTTATACATAAAATAATTATAATACGCATATCGTCGCATAATCCACGTATGTAGAGGTCTCGCGGGTTTTAGTGGTAGGTTTTGCACCTAGAAAATTTAGTGTACTTCAGGCTATATCTTCGTCGTCTCAAGCTTTTAAGTGTTGAAGATGCGATCGACTTGTTGGGTAACAAGCCGGCCATGATCGTGTAAAATGGCTTCATCGTAGATCAATTAGTTTCTGAGATATAGCCGGAAATGTAAAAGTGCAAAAACTACCGCTTAATCTCGCGAGAGCCGTACGTGTAGTAAGCTTTCCTGTATGTTTGATGCAGTCTTGCAATGCAATCCAGCCATCCAAGAAACTTTGCGCGAGACGTTTTCTTGGATGGTTTTCTTGGATAGCTTGATTTCATCGAGGGCTTCTGTTTTAAAGAAAATTTGTAAGCTTTGCTGCACTGTTAAGTAATTAGAACTGCCAGTATTTCAGTACCTAACGTGTAGTTAATGTTACTGTATTTTATTTATGCATATTTCGGCCTTTTTTAAGCAGATAACGAGCGATATTAAGAAAGATACAGGAAATAATATCTAGGACTCTACCGCGACGAAATATTTCTATCTCGAGTTTTCAAAGAATTTCATGCACTCGGCCAAGGCCTCGTGCATGAAATCCTTTGAAAACTCTCGATAGAAATATTTCGTTTTCGCGGTATCGTCCAAGAATGTATATTACTGAATGCAGTCTATAAAAAAACGTTATATCATAAACGTCAATTATAAACGTTTTACTCGTATCAATAAAAACATAAGGGGTGCTTCCTTTGAAATGCATCTTCGTCAGACGACACTTGGGATTTTTCAAGGAAAAAACAGCATAATCAATCGAGTTACGGGAGGAAAGAGTGAGAGACCTCATCAAAGACAAAGTTTGAATAGTTCTCGTACTTCAGACGGCAAAATCAGAGCGATGCATAACCATGCTTCAGTTCACCGGATTCTTACCTGTACCGTGAGACGGTTCATTTCACCATTGGCGACAATAATCTAGTGAAAGCGGATGGATATGCATGTCTATTGATTAAAACAATGGCATTACTACATTGCCACTTTCAGAGATATTCCACTCCGGACAGACACCCAGCTGGCAGAAAGAGACAAACAATATCTGAGCACAGCCTAGGTACTCAGTACTCACCCATTCCGATGTAAGCCAATCCCACGAGGATGATCGCCACCAGAGCGCTGAGCTTTGCAGCCGTGAAGACGTCCTGAATTCGCATCGCCCAGCGCACGCTCATGCAGTTGACGAACGTCAGGATGGCTGCAACGACACACAGACATCACATCAGTGTCGTGTCGACTTGCGGCAGCGCACATGTGAGGACACGTATGGAGCAGCATGACTCGATTGCCAGATGACTTGTTGCCGCTTTTCTGCACTGTGAACGAGATATGTCATCAGCAAAAACGCTCGATGACCTTAATTGACCTGCCTCAATGCCGTCCGAAGATCAGCTGTTCGGGAAACAAAAGTGATTTGCAACACAGAGCGCAAATGATCAGCACGCATAGGCATGTCTTTATTCCTACACATTTAACGGCACCTTTATTTAATACTTCACCCGCGTCCCATTGGGCTTTTGACGGACTAGGGTCCTACCACCCGTTGGGGGTGGGGTCATTTCGCCCCACTCCCCTCCCCGTATCTCGGAAAGTTACCGACCGATTTTGAAAATTCAAACGGCGTTCCATAGCGCCGCCAGGGAACTACCTCGTAACCAAGTTTCGGTGACCTAGGTGCAACCAATGACGTCACAGGTCAGGTCAAATGTCGCATTTGTCACCGATTACGGCCTTTCTTAGGAATGCGTTATAACATCGAATAAAAGGCATGTTATCGAAATTCACCGATGAAGCGTTGGTCGCCTAATACATATGCTGTTAAGGAGGGTGGTGTGATACATGTTTTAGGGCCAATTTCACATTTCAAATTCAATGATGTCGGTTACACGACCATTAGGACCGGCTTAGGTCCATTCTCGTGGAGGTCAGTTCAGGGTCAGGTTAAAAAAGGTTAAAGCTAAAAGTTGCTATTTTTGCATAAAAGGGGTGTCTATTCGATGCAGGTTATCACGGAGAATCCAATGGTGGTCTTCGTTTTATTCTGCGTTATCGATAACAGCTAAGAATTGAGTATGAAAAATTTACGTCATAAATTTTGAGCAGTTTTTTCGCCATAACTTTGCCAAAAATAGAGCTATCGAGCTCAAATGTGGCATGTCAATAGCAGACCAATTAATTATACAACATGTATTGTTTTTTCAAAATTTTTGAAAATCTTAGGTACTTATTTTGGGGGTATTATATCAAAACATCACTTTTAGTTTTGTGGGCAAAATAAAAGAAAAACATCAGAAATTTGAAATAGCAGTTTTGTAACCCTGTTAATTCTACACTATTGTATCTTAAACATTTTTCTCTATCTCCAAATCTGTAGGCGTGACAACTCTTCCCGCAAAGCATTTTTTCTTTTGTGTCGAAAATGGCAAAACATGACGGAACTCTGACGTCATTTGCGGCCAACCTATCATAGGCTTTGGAAAAAAATGGTCACAAGGTGCAAAATTGATACCCGGAGGCGTCCTGAAAGTTTCATGGCGATATACTTTGGGAGCTATCGACTATAAAAAGGAGAGGAGGCCGTTTCCCCCCTCCTCCCCCCCCCCCCCACCCAACGGGACACGGGTTATGCTTCGTTCCAAGACCTAAGCTTTTGTATTCGTGATCATCCATATCGCGATTTGCCGTACTGACAGTGCATGCTGTTTATTGATGTTATCTGATGTATGTACCTATGTAGATGTACGATCTTTTTGAGGCGCTATGCCTTATTGTTCAGTGTCGACCCTCCTCACTTACCACTCGCTTTTTGAGCGCAGCTTACCTTTTCAGCTTGACGTGAGCTAAATATACCCCTTCACCTCACCTGCTTCGGGGACGGGACAAGCTCATGTGCATCAACACTGTCCATACTTGCACGCTATTTATCGTGATTCCTGAATGCTGGAGTCCAAAAACATGTTGAAGTGCCGTATCAGGAGCGTAACCGGTAATGCACAACAAACTGTTTTGCATACTTACGTAAATGTTGCGGTTGTAAATGTGGGTGTTATGCAATGGTCAAAGATAAATATTGTTTTTATTGTCATTGTCATTGTGCCAAGCTCCACCTAGCAAGCAGATTGAATAGTAATCGTGACCACGTGACATGTGAAGAGGGTTTATTCAATTCAGGGCCGCCTGTTCCTCCCGTTCCGAAATGGAAATTGGCGAATTGACTGCAGCGAGAGGCATCGCCAGCGTTAATCTTATGGCTGCTAAGGCCATGTATGTTGATATTAGGCAATATATACAATTACAAGTTACAACGTACACCTAAGATCCTTTTGTGAACGGCCACTCACCCCTTATAACTAAAGAATGTCCGTGCTAATGTGTAATGCAGTTTACGTCTGTTGCAATATGGACGATCCCAGTTGGAGCCGGGATCGCAGAATTGTCGGTGACATATCATTGGACAGTCCAGTCAACTTATGCGTTCGTGTTTCGAGGAAACCGGCAGACACTTTATGTTAAAGTGAATCATGATCAGACGACAGGCATCGATCGTATAGGTAGGGTAGGGTGGGGTAATTTGAACATGTGGGGCAATTTGAACATAGTGTGAATAACAGAAAATTACGGAAAATCCATAAGTGGCATGACAATAAGACCAATGAGAGCAATTATCGTAACTAAAAGGGCTATCATATGAACGGGGTTTAAAGTTTCAGGGAATGAAGATGTTGACGCACAGTGTAAAAAATCAATTTCGCAAGGAAAAACGCCTAACAACACGTCATTGCAACTTCATTGCAGCGCAAAATCTTGCATTGCTAGCGCCTAATACGCAACGGCTTTTGTTGTATAATGACCTAATCAGTGCCTTCAATCCAAGAAATTTGCTTTTGAACCCTGTTTTTAAAAATGGCAAAATAACTTTTAGCGTGGGGTAATTTGAACATAGTGTGAGAATTTGAATGAAGACAGGGATAGCTCCGAAAAAAACAACGCTCCCAGTTTTTTTTTTGCCAATATTTTCGACCCAAGGCAGTAGCAGATAATTGATTGATTGATTGATAAGTGATGCCAGTTTAGAAAATTTACGTCTAATATCCGTCTAATGTCCGGCATTTTTGTTGATTTTCCGTCCAAAAATGTTTAAGTCAACTATTTGTCCAAATATGTCCGAAAATTATGCAGCTATCAACACTCAAAACCGTCATTTATATTGCTTATCATGTAATTTTACCAGCCGAAAAGTGTTCATTATATTGAGAGCTTAACAAGCTGTCCATTCGCCATTCAATGCTATGCACGATTACTTTATAAAAAGCGCTGAAGTGTAGCAAGCCATCGTCCAATGTTGTCCAGTCTGCTACCTTTGTCTAACCAATTCCGAATTGGACATTGGACAAAATCAGAACTCCAAATGTTCAGGTTTCCATTGGCACCACTTTAACAGATGTAGTACGGTTGGGAGAGTTTTTATCGAACAAAAATGATAAGCGTTCTGTTAATTGAAGAGGGGCGAATTCTGTCAACTGACCGGTGTGCAGCGTGCAGATATTGATACTCTGCAACTGTTATTTTTGCTGTTGTGTTGATTTTTCAAGTGAAGGTATGTTTAGAATTGTTCTGCCTATTTGTTCATGGGTCAAACAACATCGGTGCTGGCGAGACTATCGTTTTTATGACAGGTAAAGGCAGTATGTTCAAATTACCCCACGGTGGGGCAATTTGAACACACCGTGACTTGGTGGAGAAGTGAGGCTATGCTATTCAAGGTATGCTCGGCTCGTCCAAAAATGAGGCTTGCTTGGTGAAAGCAAGTGACACTTGCGCTACTGAAGCAGTTTTTCTTCATCCAGGGTTGAACTGGAATTTGGTACAACGGAGAAGACGTAAAAATATGTTCAAATTACCCCACACTACCCTACTACTAATTTGTGCTCAGCTGGAATTTAAACCAACGCATCTGGGCACCTGGACATTTTGATCAGCCCGATCACAATTTGATCAGTATGGTATCGATCAAGCTGGGGCTTATTTGTTTTGTTTTATTGGGTTGAGACCTCGCAGTTTAGTGAAACAATTTGAGAGCGAATGGATATGGCCGTATGGGGCATTGGGGGAAATCGGTTTGGACTGCCGCCCTGGTGCGCCGCTGCGGCTGAGTCCGTCACGATAGACAGGCCATCCAGCTACGAGTACGGTCATTCCACCGCACTTGAGTCTGCTCCGGTGTGAGCCACTTCATTCGGATGATGCTATTGCTGACCGTCCGCTGTTGGGCTCGGAGCAGGGGAATGGTCACTGGGTAGCGGACACTGACAGTGAAGGGTTAGGTGCGCCCTGAGGATCGGCAGTGAATTTTCGGCTCTCGCATAGTTATTAGTTAGCTACCATATGTCCACGTGAGCTACCGAAGAACTACGAAGCAGACCGTCAGGTTGACGACATCAGGATCGTCGGCGTTTCATTAATTCATTATCGATTGTCTGTGGTCAGGCGCTGGTGCGCCGGGGGACGGCCCAAGGCTATCGAGCTCCGGATGGTCGGGTTACGTGGGCCGCCACCTGGCCGGGCCGATTTCACCGAGTGGGACAGTGAGGCTCTGGGTTGGGCATGCTGGAAGGAAGAGCGCGCTGACCCGTGCCACGATGACCCGGTTATTTCCAATCAGGTATGTACAACTGTGAACATGGCTCAATAATCCGGTATAACAAGAAGAACATGTGCTATAGGTGCTACAGGTGCGCTCACCAGGTGCTATAGCACTTTAAATGATACGACCATCAACAACATGTGTTGAACATTGCGCTACTGGTTGCATTCAGAAACATTAACAATAGTAAAACATTCAAGAACAGTCACACATTTTGCTTTCGCCCGTGATATACTTACAGATGCAGATAGCTGCCAAAAGCTTCGTAAGACTTCCTGGCACCGGACAGTCAGGGTAGATCCTCTTCACGGCGTATTCTCCGAAGGTGAGCGCCACGATGGCGGAGAGGCTCGGTCGTATCACCACCAGACCGACCCAGAGGCGCAGGAAGGCCGGCAGCGGGCCGAATATCTCCAGGATGTACGAGTAGTCGCCGCCGGAGCGCGGGATGCAGCAGCCCAGCTCGGCGTAGCAGAGCGCGCCCAGCGTGGAGATGACGCCGCAGACGCCCCACAGGATCAGCGCCACGCCGACCGAGCCGGCGTTGGCCAGCACGCCGGTAGGAGACACGAAGATGCCGGAGCCGATGATGCACCCCACGATGAGGGTCACGCCGTTCATCAGCGTCACCTTCTTGCCTCCGTCGGCGCTGCCGCCGTCCCCCGCCGCTTCAGTCATGGCGGATGGCGTCGAGCACGTTGCAGACTGAACAGACCGACAGCGGGAGCCGCGCCGGCGCCGACCGACCTCTCTGGCCGCTCACGTGGCGAGTGGTGACTACGGCGCGGCGCGCGGGCGGCCGGCCGGCGCGGCGGGGAGGCGCGCGCGCAAGCGCGGCCGCCGGCCGCGGCCCACGCCCCGGCCTCAAGGACCCGGTCAGTCGCGGGCCAGCCGGCCCCGAAATTGTCGCCTGCACCCGGGCAGCCCTCAGACCGGGTCACAATTGTCACGAATCCGCTCATCAGAGCTGTGAGATTGGCTTTGTAAGGCGGCGATCTCCGCGCCGCCCTGTTAGAGACCGTACCTACGTCGCGGTCGATCCGACGAATGTGACGTCACGCTAGCCAGCTGACTGACGCCGACGGAGGGGAGTTTTCGTCAGCGGGTGTGTCGGCGCAGCTGCGGGGGCTGCGGGTCGCCGGCCGCCGCCCCCACTGTCGGCCCGCGCGCCGTGTCTGGCCGCGTGCCGGTTCCGACTGGCACCACCTGGGTCGTGGTGGGCCTCCCCCCCCCCTCTGCCGCCGACACAACTGTCAGTCCGCACGCACCAGACACACCGCCACGCTGCACTGCTGACAGAATCATAATGCAGACATATTGTGTCCTATCACATCGTGTACACTACAGTAATGGTACTGTGTTGCTGCATGAATGACATATCGATAACCAAATGTAACACACTTCAAAGCTTCGTGCCGCTCCCCAAATAAGCAAAAGAGATATAATAATCTGACTCATGAACATCTGTAATTCCGAACGAATCGTTCCACGCGAGAAAGGACGATGCCGACATCCTTACTCTCAAAGTCAGAGGAACTTATTTGAACAGTAAGTAAGCAACAATGGACACCTGATGCAACACTGAACGCAGTGACGACGAAACACGCAAGAGTTGTTCCTTGCCCCTAGCACAACATATTTTGAACCGAGGTATGCGGAGTCAGCCACGGCTACCCTGAAATGTCATGCAATAAGATAACAGTGTGATAACGGCCAGACCTCCGGGCTTGAGTCGACTGTGTAACAGACCATGTCCCCAGTGACCCCAGAGTTATTGGGCGCGGGTCCCCAGTGACCTCTGTAAGGGTCACACCCCATGCCCATCCCACCGAAATGGGTCGGAGCACCGGCCGGCCAGCTGCCCCAATCTCTGTGACCACCTGTGTCCCGTGTGATACGTCATATCAAGGACAGAGGTTACTTCCCCGCCGCTCCAGTTACCTCGTTGAGCCCCATCGGCACCCGGCTCACGTGACAAGTCCCCTGAGCGCCAGGCCGGGCCCTGACAGTTGACAACCAGTTGAGACTGTGTGTCACTGTCAGTCAAGGGCCCAATCGCCCGCATTGGTGTTTTGACAGCCACTGACGTAAATACAAGGGGGCCTGTTACCCCCCCCCCCCCCAGCCGCTCGCCCCTGGTCGAAAGTAAAAAAACGAGCATGCTGTCCGTGACGAGAGGAAGCCGATGAATACCCAAAATCAATATGTTCCAATTGGGGCATTCCACGTCAAGTGGGACAGAAAAATGACCATTTTGAACCTCACCTCCTCCGATTTTTGCGAAACTTTGTGAAACTGCTCATCTATATGTGAAAAGAAAGGAGACATTTTTTGTCGAGATATGACGTCACGTTTACGAGATAAACGTCATCAAACATTGACTTAGGCAAGGCACATTATCATCTTTAAAGCGTCATAACCATTGAAGTTTTAGACATATCACCACGAAACAAAGTGTGAAATGGAGGGAATAGATTAGGCTTTAATTTGAGCATAACAATATTGACGTAATTAGCTAATTAGTGAATTTAATTAGGATTCAAAAAATAAATTATGATTTTCTTAAAAATGGGTATTGGGTACCCTTCGATTTTGCTGATTTTCACATATTTTATTCTCCTAACATAAGCTACATCATATTTAAAAAAAAAATCAGAATGAGCCGACGTCTACGTAACTGTCTTTTGGACTTCGTAATGTCTGGCACTCGCGTGTTTCGTTTTAGCAACCAAGGAGAGGCGCTACCCGGAGACAGGCGCGGATACAAGGGGGGGCATGGGGGCCATGCCCCCCCCCCTTGGCCGATTTTTTTCAAAAATAAAATAAAAAGTTAAAAAGTTAAAAAGCTGAAAAGGGGGCCCCCTGAAAATAAAGTGGCCGAAATCCGATGAGTTTTTTTTTAACCTACCCACTTAGTTATTTCTTAGAAGACTAGCTGAGAAGACTTCTTTGTTAGAAGATTGGTAAAGCTTTTCATAACTTGGAGGTCTCTTAAACTCACAGAGATGACCACTTTTACAGGGCCTCCTAACCTGCACAGAGGGCCTCCAAGCCTGCACAGATGTTGAGATGTTGCCTGAACAGCTAGATAAGCTCAATAGACGCAGTTTTTTTTGGGGGGGGCCAACAAGTGGGAAGATGGGGCCTCCAACAGGTGGGATTATGGGGGGGGCCTCCTGGTTTCTAATGGCCCCTCCCTTGGAGATTTTCTGGATCCGCCCCTGCCCGGAGATGCTTCTTTCTGCCCCAAACCAAAGCAAACCTAACCTGACCTGACGTGACCTGACCTAATCTAACACGCGTAAATATGTACAGCCCTCACGGCAGTTGCCGACTGGCCAGATGCTACTTAGATACGAACACTAGCCCTCACGACATTTGCCGGCTGGCCAGATGCTACATCTGGCCTGCTACATCTGGCGGTGACCCAAAACAGCAACATTTTTTAGTTTGACCTGACCTGGAAGGTCAACGACTTACCTGAAAAAGTAAAACTGGGTATCATTGGATTTGTCTCTTCCCAAAGAATCTTTTTGGTCTTTACCGCGAAGCTCTATCTCCAACAGGAACGAAATGGCGCGGGGGTGGCAACCCCTCCCCCAATTGCGTTCTAGGATGGGAAAATGGCATGTGCGGGTGAGGGCTAGAGATGGCAAAATATGGATCCAAAGACCCGGTCCAAAGAACCATGGGTCCAACTCCAGGCCGGTTTCTGGAAATTTTCTGACGGGTCCAGCCGGTTTCTACCATAAACCATACATCTTGCACATTACACATGATTGCAAAATATGAAGTGGATGGAAAGAAAGCATTTGCTCATGTATGTTTCTTTGCAGTGCACACTGTAGCTCATGAGTATTCCCAGTGAAAAAAGCTGTTTTACATGATGCAACTAATGATGCCTTCAAATAATTTGTATTAATTGACTTTTGGGGAACGGGTCCAACTGGTTCCGATTCCAACTAAGACCGGGTCCGACTGGTTCGAGAAATGTCCAGTCGGGTCTGGCTCGAGTCTGGTTCCCAAAATTTTATCCTTTTGTCACCTCTACAATGCACCCAACCATGAGAGACTGCCGCTCGTCTTCTTTGTCTCGACAGACACAAATGATCAGCTTATCGAACCACTGTACCTGAAACTGGGCCCCGGGAGCTGACACAACGGTGTCTCTTGCCGGCCGGCGCCGAGGTCACAGCCGGTCGTGGACGGGACGACGGGACCAGCTGACCGCGCTGACGCCGCTGGTCAGAACGACCGTCAGGGATTCAGGAGACGGCGCTCGGGCGCGTCGTTGTCGCTGCGGCTGACGCTGCGTGACGTGGGCGGACATGCGACATCACATCTCCGCCTGAACTCAGTGCTCCTGCTGACCGACGGCTAAGTTGTTCGCCTGACACGGGCGCTATAACATCGAGTAAAACGCATTTTCGAGAAAAATTAGCGATTGGGCGTAAGTTTCCTAGTACATATGTTGCTATTGGAGGTCACTGGTAATACCTACCTACCAGGTCAGGTCACAGGTCAGGTCAATAAGGGTCAGTAGTAGCACATGAACCCAACTTTACTAGGGTTGTGCGATGCATGTTTTATGGCCAATTTTTCATGTCCAGCTCAATAGTGCTGGTTATAAGACCATCAGGTGCGGTTTAGGTCACTATATCTGGGGGATGTCACGTCAATGCCAGGTCAAAAAGGTCAAACCTTTCTCCGTTCCAACACGGATTCGTCCCAAACCGGTCATGCGCCACGAACCTCGCGTCCTTCCTGTCGCACGGATGGGCGGCCATCTCAAACAAATCCCAGCTGGATACCGTGTACACAGATTTTAGCAGCGCGTTTCAGAGTGTCAATCATTGTTTGCTACTGCATAAGCTCGAAAGGATGTACGGCGTTGACGGCAACGCTCTGCAGTGGTTGAGGTCCTACTTGGAGAGGCGCAAACAACGCGTTGTGTTGAACGGGAAAGTGTCCGAGTGGGTTCCGGTTGTGTCTGGAACACCGGAAGGGGGTCAAATCTCTCCGTTGCTGTTCTCTCTCTACATATGTGAATGACCTGCCAACTGTTATTTCCACCAACTGTTTGCTGTTTGCTGACGATCTGAAGTTGTTTCACGAGGTTAGGTCCGATGATGATGGCGCTCCAGCGTGACTTGAACGCAGTGACACGCTGGGCGGCCGACTGGAAATTGAAACTAAATGCCTCCAAATGCAAGTCATTTAAAATCACACTTAAACGTAGCCCCATTGACTCGACATATTCGATCAATGGCACTATTTTGGAAAATGTCACATCGATCCGAGATTTAGGCATCATTCTTGATCAAAAGCTAGATTTCGCTGATCACGTGCATTCAGTGGTCACAAGGGCTAATAGAGCGCTCGGGCTCCTCATTCGAACGTTCCAGTCGGCTTCCCCCAAGTGTAAGCTGGACAGGCAGGCCGTGTTGGCGGCTTATTACGCCAATTTTCGATCTGTGGTCGAGTACTGTTCAGTGATATGGGGCGGAGTGGCCAAATCTCATCTCGTTCGTGTGGAGAGGGTGCAACACAAGTTTTTGATGTGGCTGGCTTGTCGCACCACGAATTGTAATTCGTCGCTCAAGTACTCGGACCTATTGTCATCATTTCGTGTGCCACACTTAGGAGCACGACGCGCAAAGTGTGATGTTCTGTTTTTATGCAAGGTTTTTAAAGGGTTCATCTCATCATCATATTTACTTGCCTGTCCCGTAGCTCAGTTGGTAGAGCATTGGACTCCCGCACTGAAAACTTTTTTACTCCCGGCTGGGGGGTAAACCCTCGAAACGGGGGTATATCTTTAGGGGTCACCCTTGAAACGGGAGTTACCAGTCAGAGTTCTGCAATTTACCCTTCCAATT